TGGGAGAAATGTAGTGGCCTGTGATATACAGGAGGTCAGACTAGATGATCTAATGCTCTCTTTTGGCCTTAAACTCTTAAACTGATGTTCTCAGCAGAGAGACTAGGTCCTGAAAGCGGATGGAGACTGAACTTGCCTCTCTGCTCAGTAAGGTCCCTCCAAGTCAAGGTTGAGGCGGTGCACTGGTAGCACAGTGCAGGGAAGTTTGCATTGCCGCTGCCTATGCTGTCCTTTTGCAATAGATAAATACAGCAGAGGACTTCAGTCTCCAGGACTGTCTGTCCAGTACCTTCCACCAGCACTACATTTATATACATTTTAAAGGACTCTGGGTTAGTCTCAGGTTGGCACAAGGAGACAGTGCAGGTTCTTCGTGAGTGAGAGAGAAGGCTGAAAGAGGCCTGTCTGTGGGAGATTGTTTTTTTTTATTGGCAATTCTCCTCAAAATCTGGAATTGGAATTTTTTGCTACCATTCTTCCCATGCATAAGAAATTCCCCCTCTCCCTTAGACAAGGAAAGGAGATGAACTTGGGTTTGGGGGTAACTAAAAATCTGCAGAGACCCTCTTTCTGATCCTCACAATTTTCACTTGGACTCTTCAGAAACTGAACGTGATGAAAACACTGGCTCGAAATGCCAGGGGGAAACATTTAGCAAGTGGAGCCATGGATTTGATGTGTCAGTCCCAGGACATCTCTATAGGCTGCTACCAACTCTCAGCATAACCTGTGACTAAATCCAAGCCATAGTACCTAGAACTTTACGGCACCGGGATCACGCAGGTCTGACACTGCTGAGAGCCAGCAGCTGAACCAGCACTCTGGTCTCTGTATGCCCAATCAGTTTCCGCGGAGAAGGGCCTGCTTCAGGGAAGCTGGGGCTAGTTACGAGATCAGTCTGAGCTACAGGGTGCTAAAGAGCTAGTTCACCCATTAGCCGGAAGAGTAGAAAGACACATGGGGAGAAAGGGCAAAGGGGGGATGAGAGAGACGGGGAAAGGCTGGTAGGCCCAGGGTAAAGGGAGTGCTCTGCGCGTAGAGATCGCTTCCTTCTGGCAGAAGGGGATGGGGTTTGAATGTCACTTCTAGCAGAGCTGCTGCACAAGACTGTAAAGAGGTGGTGGTGGTTGGGGGTAACACAAATAAACGCCATGTTGGTGTTTATAAACCGGAGGTGTTAGAGCCATTGGTACAAGAAGACAGGAACGGAGGGCTGGGCCCTGCCCCAGAGCCTAAGAAGGATTTAGTGTCTGATCAGCTCAGCTGTGAATCTTATTGGAACGTTGCCCTTTCATAGCTGCGGGATGCTGAAAAAGAAGAGAGGCACCAAGGGCTCGATCCTGCAAGATGCTGAGCGCTCCAGGCCAGCTGACATCTGGATCAGGCCCACTCGTGCTTAAAGTGAATCAGGTGCTCAAGTGCTTTGCTGGATTGGGGCTGGAGGGCTCAGAACTTTGAAGGACCCAAGTCCAGCCGAGCAGTTCAGAGAACTGTGCGCGACAGGGAAGTGTGGCCACCTGCTTCCTCCATATGTGACACCCCCACCCCCCAGCCCTCTGTCTCCCAAGGAGTTCCAAACCTGTGGGGAAGGTTACAGAGAAACACAATAAACAACGACCCACCTACAAAACATCCTGCTCCTTTCCACCGCGCTCCTCCCTGTGAGAGACCAAGAGACCTGTGCTCGACCACCCACTCTCGCAGAAAGGGACCCGGCCACCGCCGAAGCGCACGGGGAAGGATTTAACTCACAGCAGAATTATTCTGTTCTTTGTCGGTAGAAAATGGTGAGAGAAAGATAAATGCCTGTTTGGTCAAACTTCTTCATTTAGTTTCATGGCCTATAACATGCACCAGCAGCTCTTTATTACTCCATATTGTGAATTAAGCCTCAACAGTGCTCAGTCCTGTACAGGACACAGGAGAAGACATAGTCCCTGCCCCAGAGAGCTTCCAGTCTAAATAGGACTCTTGCTATCTGACTCGCTTGTCTACTAGCTGGTCTGCACGGGACAAACAAGGCAGAATATTTATGGAGTAAGTATCATCCAAGGGCAGGGTAGTTACAATAGAAGTACTATGTAGCAGCAGGCTATTTACAAAGGCAGTACATCGTACTGTGCTAGGTGAGCACTGCGTAACTGGTAGGGCATTTTCAAGGAAAGTCCCATGTGGTAGCAGACTCTGTGGTACTTTGTATGCGGTATTGTTGTTGTAGCCATGTCAGGCCCAGGATATTAGAGAGACAAGGTGGGTGAGGTAATATCTCTTATTGGCCCAACTACGTTACTTATCCTGTAAGTCATACAAGGAGAGGAGAGGGAGAAAGAGGGAGGGGGCAAATGGAGGAGCTGGAGGAGTGACAAAATGAGGGGAGGTGGAAGGAGGAGAGAGGAAAGTTAATCCACAAACTGGGTGCAGTTTTGGGGAAGTGACATCTCTTTAGTTACTATTTAAAACTGTCATTTGGCTCCAGACTGGCTCAGTGCAGCCCCCTGGTATGGAGACTGCATGGGGCCAAATCCATCCCTGCTGGAACTATCGATTTAGCCCATGGTGAAAGCTCCTGGGCTCGCTGCCAGCACAGACCATATGACAGAGTTGCCCTAGTGAGAACAGCCACTTTCTTAGGACTGGCTGGAAAGAGGGAGCTACTGTGGGGGTGGTAGGAGGGACACTCATGGTACAAGGAGCACACTTAGCTCAACTCCACGCTTTTGGTCCTCTTGTGTACATGATCAGGGGAGACTCCCAGCCCCACCCCCAAGGAACTGACCATTGACGGCTCCTCGAGAATGTCTGGGAGGAATATAACTGGAGAGACACATGACGAGCAGGTCTCTTCCCGGGTGCAGACTACATCTGAGGTTTGTGGGTAGTCTGCCGCAGATGGGAGCCTCCGAGGAAAAGAGCCCTGCCCCTTGCTTTGAGCAGTAGCACTTACCACTCGATGTATCATGGAGAAGTCTACTTGTAAATAATTATTGGATGAAAAACATGCCAAGCTTCTGTGAGTTATTTGAGCAGCTTGGCTTTTCATCTCCAGAGTGCTTTACAGACATGCACTGATTAATCCCTGCGACACCCCCTGTGCTTTGGGGTGGGAGGGGGTATTACTATCCCTTTTGACAAGTGGGGAAACTGAGGCAGAGAAGGTAAGGGACTTGCCCAAGGCTGCAGAAGGAGCTCCTGCTGCTAGACCAGGGTTTCTCAAGCTGGGGTCGCTGGACCCCTGGGGGTCCGCAAGGGTACTCCAGGGGTTCCGTGAATCATGTCCAGATCAACTCCTCTCCCTCGCTCCCAGTGCCTCCTGCACGCTGTGGAACAGCTGTTCAGTGGTGTGCAGGAGGCTCTAGGAGGGAGGGGGAGGAGTGGGGAGGGGATGGGAAGAGGAGGGGCAGGGTTGGGTTGGGAAGAGGTGGGGTGGGGAGGTCTTGGGGGAAGGGGTGGAGTGGGGGCAGGGCCTTGGGCTGAGCAGGGAGCTTGGGGTCCATGAAAATTTTAAAATCAAAATGGGGGTCCTCAGGTTGCTAAAGTTTGAGAACCACTGTGCTAAACTGTGCATCTCTCCCAGAGGGGGATGCTGGAGAGAGTCATTTGTTATAAATTAACATGGGGATTTATCAGGTGCTCATGATACTGACGGGGACGGAATCAGTGTCTTACATGCAGTGATTTTTATCAGGCACTTTATACGGAGGAACCCAGTTTCACTCTGAGGGCAGATGTATGCTCTAAGGAGCAACGCTTTTTTTGCAGTGAGTAGAGACTTTTCATCACACTCAGGAATTGACCCTTAATATGTTCAGTTCATCTTTCCACCCCTTTCCTGCTCATTGCATAATTCCTCTTCTTCCAGCCAGAGGGCGCTAAGAGTAGCCAGGGCTTGGGTGCACTAAACCTCCCATTCTTCCAGCAGACACACACACGCTAATTGCGAGCTCTCTGGGTCATGGCCACTGTGAGTAGCACCTGCTGGCTGAGTCAATTCAGATGCCTGTCCCGGCTTCCCATGTGTCCTATGACATGACTGAAGGAGTTAAAGGGAGACAGCCTGGTTCCTCAGTGCCTCTCCTTTTCTCTGGAGCCTGCATTTCCCTGGCCAGCAGCAATCCGCGGCCGACTGCCCATTGTCTTGCAGCTGCCACTTCTCTGAGTGCAGGGCCCAGATCCTGTGCTAATCTCCTCCCCACCCCCTTGCCGCAGGAGTTGTACTCTCTACCCACAAGGCCGTGCTACGAGCCCTGTAAATGGCATCCCATGACATGCTCGATGGCGCTGGAACTGCTTCTGAAAATGCAGCAGCACGCCTTGCAGGTGGGCCGAGCCTCCAGTACTACGGGCAACAGATGGCCATGGAGAAGGGTTTCTGTGCCCGTGAAATACTGCTGCCTCAGGATGGGGTGAGGATGGGCGACTGGTTGGGCTGCTCCTGTACCAGGGATGTATAGTTTAGTGGGAGGTTCTCTGCATCCCACGCTAATTCCGGGCTGGATTCTTACCAGCTGGGTTCTTTTTCTTTTAAAAATGCAACAGTTACGTGTTTCCTTTGCAAACCAGACAGGAGAGCAGGACATGACCCTGATAAATCACAAACCCCATGCGTATGGAGCCCATGATGGCTGGGGGCACTGCAGACTGTAGGGGGTTAGGATGGGCTTTTAATTCTTCAGTAAATTCGGGCTGTATGTCTCTGGCTCACCGCAGAATTTGAGCCAATGCAGTTCTCAGGGATCAAATCAATGCCAGGCTCTGGGTTTGGGGAGGTCGATAATTTACTGGCCTCTGGAACAAGCCGGGGCCACCAAGCGAAATGATTGCCCATTCCCACCCCCTGCAACTCCCCACCCTCTTTTTTTGCCACGGGGAGATAAAATTTGTACTCTGCTGTTACAGAGCTAACCCTACCAGGCTGCTGAGCTCAGTGAGGCTCTGGAGGGAAGACCATGGTGAAGTCTTGTTGCCCGTCCTCCCCGCCCCTCCCCTGCCCCTGTGTCCGTTCACATGGTGGAGTTTGGATACTGCACCCAGCCCACCTCCTTGTACGCGGCAGTCACGTGGGTGTAGATGAGGCTCTTCACCTTGGTCCAGGCTCTCTGCACCTCTGGGGTGAAGTCGTTGGCATATTCTTCGGCGATGACCTCCAGCATGACGCCGGTGAAGAACTGGGGGAGAGGGAGACAGGAAAGGGTTGCTAGATTCTCCAGGAAACAAGGGGAGAGGGGAGGTGGTCAGGGGCCACTGGGGCAGCCCCTTTTCCAAAGCAACCCTGCTGCTGAGTTCGGGGGGCTTCTGCCATCTTGCTGAGCCGGTCCATAGGGATACTTTACCCTGCTTTGCACTACCCCCAGCCATTGCTCTGAGAGACTGACAGATGCTCATTGGGCTCCAGGAGATGTAAAGCCGTGTTATTAGCCCTGCTGTGCCAAGGGAGAAACTGAACCCCAGGCAGGTTGAGAGCTACGTTGTCTTGAGCCAGCTCATTTTAGGGGCCCCACTTTTTGGGTTCCCAACTAGAGACATACAAGGGCCGATTTTTTCCAAAGAGTTCTGCACGGCAGGTATTGAGCTGGTTGGAAAATCAGGTCACAAGCGTCACCGTGGGAGTTGCTGGGTACTAGGCACTTTGAAATCTGTCCTGTAGTGTCTGCTTTGCAGAGGTGTTAACCGCCCTCAGCTCCCACTGCCTTCCTGAGTCAGTGCTACTGAAAATCAGTACTGAGGTCCCAGGTATCTCACGCTGCCTGCCCACAGGTGCCCAGAAGGAGGGGCCGCATTTGAAAAGTTTGGCCTAAGTGTCTTGCCTGAGGCCACAAGTCGTTGAGGGACAGAACCCTGGCGTCCTGCCGCCCACGCCTCTGCTCTAACGGCACAGCTGCTGAGCTCTGGACAGGTGCCCTCTCTAGGTGCTCGGCAACTTCCTCTCCTTTCTGCTTCTCCAGGTGTGGCAGAGGAGAACGCTGGCCGGCTGCCCACGGACATAGTGTCCTAGAGGTAGGAGTTGCCTGCCCTGAGTCACCTCATCCTCTTTGCTCTGCAGTGCTGCTTTCTGACGCGCTTGGCCGTGCGGGGGCAGAGGGGCTTTCCCCTACTTTCCAGGGTCTTTATCCCGTTCCCCCAGTGGAGCGCTAGCTATTGGTAGGGGGAGAAAACCCTTTACCTCCACCAGAAGCTGTGGGAGAAGGAGTTCCCTGCATCTTCCTTGTGGGGGGAAAGGCAGGTTTCCGTGGGCTGGGACAGCTTGGTACCCCACTGTCATGGCCAATAAAACAGCTGTAGGTGACCCGGTCCAGAGCTAGGCCCTCGTCTGCTTTCTCTCTCCCACAATCTACCCCTCCTAGTTTCACGATGAAAACCCAATCTCTGATCCACTGATGGGTTCTGATGCCCGTGGCCGGGGAAGGTGGCCCATGGCGGCGAGTCTCCCAGGGCTGTAGGCCACAGCCCATTTCAATTCGACCTCATGGACTCAGAGGTGGGGTTTTTCCTCCTGAGGTTCATCTTTAAAACCATCACCAACATGTGAGAGCAGTACTGTGTCTTGGCGCCGTGTGGCACAGAGGTTGTGGTGGCCCCTGGAGGAAGCTGGAAAGGAATTCCCTTCCCCCCCCCCCCCCCCATCATGGCAGGAGCGTGGCCGTTGCCTGCGAGCTGCATTTCATGGGAGGACGCGGAGGCTGCACTGACATTAACCAGCTGATTGCCCCGTTTGCTAACCCATTGGCCATTTCCATCCCAAGGCAGGTCAACGCCCAGCAAAGGAGAGAACCCTCAAAGCAGGATCCCAGCTCTTTTCCCCTCTTCTTCGTCTCATTGGCTTGCAGCCCCATTGCCCCTTCCACTCATTTGACACACTTCCTTGCACTGTAACAGCCCTCCCCTGCACTCCCCCCCCCAGAAGCACCAAAATAGGCCCCTACTGTTGGCAAGCCCCTGCCTTACTATACTTCTTCTGGGGTGCAGCCTGTGAAGTCCTCATCCCTCCCCTCGCTCTCTTGCTGCCTGTCGGTGCCACCTGCCCCTTGGCTGCTAAGGGGAGCGAGAGAAAACTCCCAGCTGAGCGAGTAAGGAGAGGAGGTGAGCGGGGAGGGAACTTGCTGACTTGTAGCACCGACTCCAGCAGGGCCAGCAGACCCTATCTGGTACAGCACCCCCTTCAGGATACCCAGGAAACTGACTACTCCTGATGTAAAAATCCATAGGATTGACCAGCATCCTGGGGGCTAGAATAAACCACCGTATTCCCACCGTCTCTTGCCAGCACCCATTTATCAGTGTGGGCCTTATCCCCTCCCTCCCTTTCCCTCTAACGTCACAGAGACTTTCGTTCTGGTCCTTTACCTTGAAGTAGACAGGCTCCACTTTGTGCTTGAGGGCATGGGCCTTGCCCACCAGGGCCAGAACAGATGAGACCTTTTCGGAGTCGTTGATGTTCTCCACTACGGTGTTAACAGCGCCCATGACCCGCCGGGCATGCTTGCGCAGCTGTGGGGTCCTCTCCATCTCCAGGGGGTCCTCCATGTGCTTGAATTGACTGAAGTACTGCTTGGCAGACGGGAATTTGACAAAAAACCTGCACAGTGCAGTTGGGAGAGAAGGAGAGGGAAAGAGAGAGAAGCCACGTGAATTTCAGTGAGAGGTGAAGTGGCTTAGGGCAATGGTTCTCAACCGGGGGTGCACATACCCCTGGGGTATGCAGAGGTCTTCCGGGGGTACATCAGCTCATCTAGATATTTGCCTAGTTTTACAACAGGTACATAAAAAGCACTAGTGAAGTCAGTACAAACTAAAATTCCATACAGACCATGACTTGTTTATACTGCTCTATAGACCATACACTGAAATGTAAGTACGCTATTTATATTCCAATTGATTTATTTGATAATTACATGGTAAAAATGAGAAAGTGAGCAATTTATCAGTAATAGTGGGCTGTGACACTTTTGTATTTTTATGTCTGATTTTGTAAGCAAGTAGTTTTTAAGTGAGGTGAAACTTGAGTGTACGCAAGACAAATCAGACTCCTGAAAGGGGTACAGTAGTCTGGAAAGATTGAGAGCCCCTGGCCAGGGGGCTAGAGCAAAGCCAGTGAGGCAAGAGAACTTGGATCTATTCCCAGTTGTGCCACATACTCACTGTGTGACCTCATGGCTTGCAGTGGGGTGGGGTTTCGTTAGTCCTGAGCATCTGCATCTCCCGGTAATTCAGTGGGGGCAGTGGTGCGTGGCCCATCTGCAAACCATGTTCTGGGAGCTTTCCCAACTATAACAGGGGCCTGTCAGTAAATACTCACCTGCCTAGCAGAGTGTCGGGGGTGGCAGTGCTGAATTTGTGATTGTCATTATTATTGCTGTGGCTAATGGCCCCCTTGTGCTGGGCACCGGCTGCACACAGCGCGAAAGATTTTTCCTGCCCCACACAGCTTGCAATCTGATATTTGCAAAGCCCTTCTCCCGTCTGTGCAGAGCCCCCGGCAGACAGGTTTCAGAGCGGTAGCTGGGTTAGTCTGTATCAGCAAAAAGAACAAGGAGTCCTTGCCCCTGCACGTCCACACAAATTGAATAATTCTGCCCTTGGCCACCCCCGTGATTCCCCTGAGTTTTCACAGGGGGAACCAAGGGCAGCACTTGGCCCAGAGAATCCAGCCGGGGTTCACAATGGGAAGTCAAATCAGTGCTCAGAACGTTCCTGCTGGGGGCAGTGCTGAGCCCTGGGGCATCCAAGGGCTGTTGGGTCTCCAATGTGCCGATCCTAGGTTACTGCACCCTACAGGGATGTCTTCTTCATCCCATGTTGGAGAGTGGAGTGGTCCTGGGGCCAACCCTCTTTCCCCGACCCCAGGAAAGGGGTACAGGAGACGCTCAAATCTGATGGGATTAAAGCCACGGGACAAATTAATCACAACTGAAATGAAAGGAGTTGTGGTTGAATTGGCCACGTGGAGCTAAAACCTCGACTCCCTCTCCATTCCCCAATAGGAAAAGAGCTGGGGAGGGGGAGTCGGTGTGTCTTTGCTGTGGTTATTTAAGAGTCTCACACACTCCCCCAGTTTGCTGGGGCTGCCCCAGCCCCTCATAGAAAGGGCAGCTCTGCTCTGTGCTGCTAACAGGTGCCAGTTTGCCTGGGGCAGGACCCCCAGGGCACAGATCTGAAATGCTGCGAGTGAAAGGGAAGCTTTTGCTGAGCTCTGAGTCCACTTGCCGTGTGCACAGGGGGTCCCGCTCCAAGCTGAGGAGAGGTGAAGGCTCTGTTATGCTAGGCTAGTGAACCGATACACCGCTTGGTAACAGAGGCAGAAGCACAGGGCGGGAGGAGAGAGAGAGAGAGTGTGTGTGTGTGTGTGTGTGTGTGTGTGTGTAGGAGCCTACATCCTAAAAATCTCTGCTGAGTTACTTCATCCCTGCATGAGAGGTGAGATTCTGCTGTCACGTGCAGCGGGGCACCTCCATCAGGCTGTAACTCCATTGATTTCAGTGAAATTGCTCCAGATTTACACCAGGGGGAGCGAGATCAGGATTCAGTCCATCCTCTCCACTCCGAACATCCGAAGGTTTGAGCAGCTGGGCTCTCTCTGCGTCCTTATGTGTGTACATTAGACTGGCTGGGAGCCAGCGTAGGCTGCTCAGGAGCTGGTAGACTCAGCTCCCAGGGCTGTCCCCTGATGTCTTCTTTGTCCACAGTTCCAGAAAAACACCTCCCTCCTGCCATCTGCCTCCTCCCTTCTTCCAAGCTGGTGCAACCCCTCTCCCCCCTCACATGCTCTGCACCGCCCCAGGCCAATGCACACACCACCTCCAGGGCCAGGTGGGGTCATCTTCTGTGCGCGCCAGCCCATGGGCAATTGCAATACGAGGAGCAGGCTCTCGTTTGCCACCTCATTGTCCTCTCCCCACCCCCCTCCACTGGCTCCCGGAGGATCCGGGGGGCTGCCAAGTCAGCAGCGAATGGAACGTACATCGCTTCTGTTGCTTCCCTCAGGCATCTGGGATTCATCAGCGGGCCCAAAATAGGTTTCGATGTGTGAAGAGTGAGCAGCAGGGGGGAGGAGGGAAGGTGTGGGGGGGAGGCGTCGGTTTGAAAATCAGAGAGGGAGCCGTGAACAAGCTCCTCGGATTCTTTTTTAACCTCTGCCGGCAGAAGCTTGAAGCGGCTCCTCCTGGCGCGTCTGCTCCCTGCCAGAGGAAATCAGTTTTCCGAACCCCAGGTCTCACCATCCCACCTCTCTTAGCCAATCTCCGTACGTTCACAGCTGTCCAGGAGAGACTGGGCCTGAGAAAGGGCTTTGGAGTGGAATACGCAGGTGCCAGGGCCTGGGAACTACGCCTTGTGGTCCCCTGCCTCCTTCTGACCGAGCATTAGTGAGATCTCTGAATCTCATTAGGCCAGGGCGGCTCTGGCTGGGGAGAAGCAGCAGGCTGGGTTATTGTTATATTGGTATATATACATGGAAGCATCACTATTAATGTTCCCCTTTTCCCCGAGTTCCCAGGATTCAGCCTAGAATATCTTCCAGCAGAAGGACAGACATTCCCCCTCCATAGCAATAGGATTTCTTTTGTTATCCTTGACAGGTTTCAGAGGGGTAGCCGTGTTAGTCCGGATCAAGAAAAACGAGGCATCCTTGTGGCACCTTAGAGACTAACTTCACCCCGAGCCCTGGTCTCTAAGCCTGGATACCTGCTGGCTGTATTATTCTGAAGTTCTTTCTCTCCCCCCAATCGCTCTTCCTTCCCCTGATCGCGCTGTCACAGGCGATAAGAAAGGCTACAACACTCAGCATAAAAAACGGAGCCAACAGGAAAGGATCATTCCCAATATCAATATCAAGAGGTCCTTCCCATTGACAGCGCTGGTCTTCTCTGTGCCCATATAAGCAGATCTCTCCTCCTCGTGGGCTGTGGGGCAAGAGGAACTTTGGCCTGTGTGAGTGCTAATGGCACCATCCTCTCTAGGATCCCGAGGGTTAGAGTCTCACCCATTGTGGCAAGCTGTAATATCGGAGGATCTGCCCTTCTCAACACTGCTGTCATGCTGCCCAGCTAACAAGGAGATCTGGTCCCCTCAGCGGTGACCACCTCTGTTCAGGGCTGAATGAGGGGAATTCAGACTCGGAGAAGGGGTAGAGGGGAGCAGCAACCAGAAGAATAGGTGACCTGGCATGTTGGATGAAAACCATCTATCCTAAAATGTGTGTCCCACTCAAAGCACATAAGGTCTGATTCTCCTCTCACTCGCGCCAATATAAATCAAGATGACCCCCCCGGAAATTGGTGAAGTCACACCGGTGTAACACAGATTAAGTGAGAGGAGAACCAGGCGCGTGAAGTCCAATAGAGAGCTTGTAGGAAATCTAGTAGACTAGTAGGGCTGGATTCCTGTCTGGTATAAATCCATTGAATCCAGAGATCAATTTGCCTTGTAGAGCTTTTGCCGACTGTGGGGAAGCTGGTGGGACTTAGCTAAGGGCTGGTTTACAGCTCTAGAGAATTCCATATGTTCTGGGTGGGGTGGGAATAAGCCTGTGATAAGAGGCTGGAGGCATTTATGTTTGAGATGAGGCAGGCAGCTCCAACTGGGGGTGCTGCCGCAGAGCACATGCCAGATGTCCTGCATTTGGCTTCTGCTCTTAGGTACTTGGGAAGCATTACTTGCTCTGAATGCAAAAATGGTATCTGGGAAAGAGGTAAGGGAGTAGAAAGGAACCGCCACTATGTGTATCATGACTAGGAAATCAGAACTTCCCCTCCGGCAAAGTGAAGGATAGAAAAAGATCAACCTAACCCCCACTGTAGATGCAGCTAAGTGGATGGAAGAATTTTTCCGTTGACCTAGCTACTGCCTCTCAGAAAGGTGGATTAACGACATCAATGGGAAAACCCCTTCCGTCAATGTAGGACGCATCTACACTACAGTGCCACAGTTGTGCTAATGTAGCATAGACATGGCCTACGTGACTCACACAGGAAGTCTGTGACAAGACAAGGAACTGAAGTCAGGTCTCCTGAATTGCAAGCTAGTACCCTAAGCACTGGACCATCCTTGTTTCTGGGTGAATAAAGCTGGGCATTCAAAATTGAAACTTTTGGCCTATATCCAGAAGAAAAACACTAGTGTTAAATTCAAGAAAGGCATATTAAATAAAAGTTCACTTGACTCTCAAGAAACTTTTTTAAAAAGCAGTTCATCTGTAGTTGTTAATTAACTTAGAAGTTTAATTTATCATTTTGATAAAGGACAAACAAAAGCAGAGAGTGGAGGAAGAGAAAAAAATAACACATTCTGATGAATAGGGAATTTTTTTCTATCTGTTGCATCTTTGTCTGTAGTTCAAACCTCTTAGTATCTGGAATATTGTTTTCTGATTCATCCAAGATCATTACAAATCTAATATTTACTGTTGCATATGCAAAATGACGATTGATACAAAACAGATGCCTGAATACCGATTTCATTAAATTCCTTGTAAGTGATTCGATTCCGCGCCCCCTAATTTGTATTGCATGAGCTACATCTGGACAAAATGGACAGGATGTCCTAAGTGTCATTTTTTTCCTTCTTCCCCTTTAACCATTT